AATATATAGTGGAGGCCTTTTCAACAATGAAGATGCCATGTATAAATATATATATATAGGTATACAAAGGGGGGTGGTACACTTTTTCCTCTCGTTTTGGATGAACTGCAGTTTTTGTTGATTTACATGATGTTACCTATTGTTGTTCACGGAAATTTTGGTCAAGTAGATTTTATGTACAAGTATACGGAAGATTTTGTGGCGCTTGACTGCCCATGTGATAGGGGATCGTCAGATACTTTCACCATACAATATAAGTAGTCTCAAATGTCAACGAATTTCTTCCTATTTAAAATTAATACACCGATGTAACTCTAAATGAACCAAATGATCTATTAAATTTCCAATTTGTAAAATAACTAATTCGATCTACAATATTGACATTTTCTAAGTCTTTTGGATATGTATTGATATCTCTGCGTTTGGCTTTTAACTATATGTGTTACTAGAATCACTGGAGCAATTCACGAAAATAAAAATATACAAACACTCGGTCCAACACTTGATTGAGATCAATGTTTTTAACAAATCATTGACACGTCAGCGGAAAAAGACAGAGTTGTTAAATCAATACACACCAACCTCTTGAGATCATCCCCAAAAAATCTAGGCACTGTTACATCATTATGATTTAAAGGCAATCTTCACGTCCAGATCCAGGTCAAAAGACACGGAAAAAGTCGCATTTTTACACATACTAGTGGAAAAATAGCTAAATACGAGATTAGAGAGAGACTTACGAGTTTTCGTGGTGGTGCACACTGTATTATAAACACATATAGACGTAACAGTAGACGGGCAGGTCCTGGAGATCTAAAAAAAGGCCAGTGGATATCTTGTTCGTGAGAGTGAGGAAGAAATAATGTTTATGATATGAGGTCCTGTATGGCGAGTGAGAGAAGAGCGGAGGAAAAAGAAGAAGAGCAGAGAGCATCAGAGGCGCACACAATGCGAACAATGCGGTGAGCCTTGCTATACAGAGAAGAAGGAGTGGGGGAGAGAGGTTGGCTTACGTAGGAATACAATTACATTATGAACTCAATTACCATTTAAATGGAAACAAACGTGAAGTGCTGAAATTCGAGGTTGGCCGTACTTGGATTTTACCGTATCTGCGAGAATATAGATGTGTACTACTAATATCTACCTATATATCTATTATCTGGTGTATTTGTTTGGAGTAGCTTCAATGTTATATGCACCTGTCATTTTAATTTTCTTTACAGGTCTTCTTGATTTTCATAAGGTGATTCTTTTGTGAAGTCCTTTTGTCAATATAATTGAGTTTTCGATACGTCAAGATTCGTCTTGATGACTGCTTTCTGGAAAAGGATTTGATTTTTATTTATTGCGTTCAAATAACAAAGTAAATAGCTTAGAATGAGATTTACCTATTCGGAAAAGATTCAGATACAAAAGAAAACGATTGCTTTGTGTTCATTTGTTCAAGTCATTATGATGATTTTTACATTGCTGCTATTTTACCATATTATATCCTTCTCTTACAATAGTTGCTTTGAATCGACAACAAGGGTACTGTTTCGTCTCAAGATTCTTACTCAGTACTTAACCCGTCATGATTTCACAAAAGAGTAACTGCTTATTTTCGCTTCTTCATACAAAATCCATCCATCGTATATCACCAATCGTGCAAAATGTACAAAAGCATCAGAAATGACTGTCAAAAATGTCGACCACGCTTAAGTACCGAGTTACCCCCAAAATTTCTATGCAACGTCAAAACATTACAAATATGATGAAGCATCGCTGGCACAAAAACGCACACACTCATGCCGGGTAAAAGATGAAAAAAAGAAACAGCATTAAGTCAGAATTGATCAATGATTCTGACAGTACGCCCATCGGCGGCTACTGGTCGTTTTTCGCATTTTTCACTGGAAAAAAAAGAACAAACAGAAGATAAAAGGGGAGCAGTGTCATGTATATACATGTACTGTAGGGACATAATGGGAGGGCGTGCAGGTCTGTTACTATATGTGTAAACGCCGTACGCGTATTCTCCTCCTGCTGCGGGATAGTTTTCGGATTTTGGACTGCGGTGCACGTGTCAATATTTTTTCGTTTGCATTGTTACATTGGGACTACTCGTATACACCACAATACGACGTGGTACGCTACAAATATTATACCACAGTTTGGGTGGTATCCACGGATGAGCCATTGATCTGATCTATACATGTATAGTAACCGACACAATTCCTACGAAATCGTTTGAGCAGTGCGTATTGCGATGTATACTCTGTGTACATAGACATTTGGTGGTGGTAATGGTCGTTGCAGGAATTGTTACGCATTTGAAACTTTTTTACACTCGTATGAATGGACCTTGATGTTCAGAGTTTGAGTTTTGATGTATGGATGGAGATTTTTTACTAATTTTGTCAAAACTCTGACATCCATGTATGTTGTTTTCTTTATGGCTCATTGATAGACATTGATTAAATCGTAGAATTCCTCTTTTGATAAGTATCTAACGACTTGTTATCTTTTGTTGAGCAAAATTATGTTCACCACACAAATCATAATTCGTTCAGTTACAGGACCATATCATCATCATTATCATCATCATCTAAACTTAATGAATCGTTACATATGGTTATTAACTTAAATTTCATAAAAAACATAAAATACTGTTCAATCAACATTTAATTCTCATGTATGATATTTATATCAAGGAATTTCAAAACTTAATTAAATTATTAACATTTTCCGAGTAGAAAACAAGGTATTCCATCATGAGAGCGTGACACCCTACCCCAACCCAAAATAAGCCAGGCGCACCTCAGGTATACCTATTTCTGGTTCACCATCCTTTTATATTCTCATTTCTCCACTGTGCTAAAATCGCTTCATAAACCATCAACAGCCACGCGCCGCACAATGCGGTACCAGCCCGCTCTGTAGCGTACACGCAGTGCGAACATACGGCACCACGGGATGCCAAAATACATATATACACATTCGTATGGTTAGCCATCTCTCTAATACGATATAGATACACGTGACAAAAGCTGTGGCTAACTTATATACTAGCAGCGGTGCATGTGTGTCCGAGGGGCATTCAAATGGTAATACCCCACGGCCTTAGTTCCCGTAATATGTATACCTTATGACGATGACCTACACGCATATATCCGCGACCCTATGCAGGGTGTATGTATATACATCGACGACGACACAGACCCCTCCTGCGTGCAGAGAAGGTGCTTGCACACGTACGTGCTGCAGAGGCACGCGCCAACCCGGAGAATCAGAACAAATATTGGCAATATCATCCCTCTGCTTTTCCACGATGTGTGTCCGACATTTTGGTCGCCGTTTTTTTTGCTTATTTTTCCTGCAACCAGAGTGAAGAGAGAAAATCAAGAAATAAGCGAGGCAATGGATGACCTCCACTGTACCTAGAGCTTTTTTTTAAACTAGAAATAGCGATTCGATGGAATAAGTGAACGAACTTAATTTTTTATTCTCATTTTAAAATACGTTACTATGGTATTGCTCGTTATGCGATTGTTTTGCTTTGAAATTAATGAAATTCATTTTGTCGGTGCAATACGAGTCTCCAATGATAAAAAAAAAGCGAGATTGACAAATGAAAGGAAAGGTCAGCCACGGTGAAGTTCCATGCACATTATCACCGCTATTTCACCAGCTGCTGAGGTATTTGCACTTGAAAAGCCGATCGTTCTGAAATGAATAGGTGCAGAAAATGCAAAAGCCGATATCTGACCGAGCAGGATATGGAAGAGGCTTAAGCTCGAGCCAAAGGTATTCAGTGGGAAATGGAGTGTACGATATATAGAGATGAAAAAAGAAAATGAGCGAGTTGAGAAGAGAGATTATTGAACAAAGGATCGTTGTTTTCGATTGATTGGCTAACCATCTGACTGACTGACATTGTTACTGATTCTGTGCAGACATCAAATACCCCCTGCTGCGATGCGTGGGATATAAACACGTATATAATTAAACTGCACTCGAAAAGGATTGGTAGAAAGCAAAGTGGGCAGCGTATTATAGATACACTGTTTAAGATTTTTCGTACTAACTTAATGTGGTGCAAAATCCAGGACATGTGGGTAAACTCTCTTCTTTCGTAACTCAAGTTTGACGTATCATTGGGAATTATCATAACTTGCCTAGAGATGCTCGATTGGGATACGCAAGATCTAATCGAGTTTCCATATCCTAATCATTTATGTTATTATCATTACAGCTTTTGGATCAAAAAATGTTTCTTGTCAATCCATTCTTCTCAGGAAAACTTTGCTTTCTACGTTATGTATGTACCTATACGTTTAATATTTGTCGGCACAGCGAGTCTCTCTGTTCCATAACGTTTACGGAAAACACATCTCCCTTTCGAGATTCTCCGGACACGCACGCGCTCGCCTCTGTACAGGGTACGAATTATAAGGAGGGACGCGACAGTAGCAGCAGCACATCACCCGGAGAGAAGAGAAGAGAGATGACACGCGTAATCGCGTAATCGCGGCGCGTGCTAAAGTTCGGATCGGGGGGGCTTTGCTGCGTGCGCGCGTATACTTACGCGTAGTACATACACATTCGTATGGGAGACGTATATATAGCGGCACTGGCTCCTCTGACACGTGGAGGTTACGTTACATGTATACAGGCTTGGGGTGTAAGGCCTCGATCTGCCGCGCGCCTTGAGTCAACATCGATCACAGGTCGTTGCTTATATACATAATATACACACACTCCTCTCTCTCTCTCTCTCTCTCTCTCTCTTTCACATGCACAGATCTCCGTCGATCTGCTGTGTTTCTCTTAAGATTCGGTATACCTACATACTCTGGGTTGTTGTACTACTTACATAGCACGTGATTGTATACGTACATGCAAGCATGCCTTGTCGCCCGTTCTCAAACGTCGAGTGTGTTTACTGTTGAGCTTGCAGATGAGCTTTAGTTAAAACACAAAAGGTGGAGGAGGTGGTCGAGATCAACGGGGGACAAAATTTTCAAGTGCACCCAAAAGTAAGATCTCGTACTTTTTTTCTCATGTTCTCTATTGTACTATTTGGCAGATTAAAATGAAAACTAGGGGGGGTTGGAAGTGCGACGAGGTTATACATACATACATACATACATGTGGGATTTTTTATTGGAAAATTTCAAGCTTACAGTGCACTGAGAGTAAGTAAGTAAACAGTAAAGCGCGATGGTAATAATGCAATCAAAATTTTCATGATGCATGACATGCAGTTACAGTCAAATTTAATTTCAGGGGATAAAAACCATCCGCTATTCAATACCAACCAAAGGAAAATAGAGAGGGAGAGAAGACACGGTTGCGTTGGTTTAATAGGCTAATTGGCAGCCAAATGAAATAGAGAGATTTAAAAAAGATTTTCCAGCTCAGCGGCGACGCGGTCGACAGAAGCTTAATCCTCTTAGCACATCGGAGTTTGCCCGAGCCCCTGAAAAAAAAAAAAATAAAACAAATCACAGGCTAAAACGAGCGCGATGAATGGGGCTGTGTTTTTTAACGTCGATTCGCGTCTTGGCATTGTGTTATTCCCATCGCCTCATATAGTGCCTGCAGTACGCGGTGACGTGTGTTCAAAGTCGAGCACCTTATATATACCTTATATGTATACATCCCGTCACTTAAAACTAGCTCCCAAAATCGTGCACACCCAGTGGACATCGGACACGACGATTTTATCTCACAGCATATCCGAGGAGAAGAGAGGGAAAAAGAGCAATCGGTTCGGAGACCGCGGCGACGGACCATGGTGTGTGTAATATAGGCGTGTGCGCTGCAACACCAACGGCACGAGCCGGCACGTGGCCGGCTGATGGGACCGTCCCATCCGTCTCTCCATAGGCGTGCGCTAACGGCATTATGCACGCCTCGCCTCGCGCCTATTACCAACATTAATCTAAGCTCTGAGATATACGTCCGCGTGGATACCTATATATTATATTGGACCAACACGAGGACCACCTACGGGGTTAAGGCAGGCGTCGATTGGAATGAAAGTTGCGCGTACGTAGTGTGTGTTTTGGAAATTTAGGCGCTACCCATGGGTGAGATTTTTCGGGGGGATGCATGGTAATTTTCTTGAGGGGGATTAGGATGAATATTTTGTGATTGCGAGGGATTACGCGTGTGATTGAACGAGAAATTGATTTATATTTATCCGAAAGGTGTTGGTGTAGTGCGGTGGCTGGATCATTTTTTTTTTTTCTTTACCTCATATGGTTTAATTATAATTTAATTTGATTTCTGAAAATCCACCTCGCACGCCAGAGCTGTATTTACTACAAATATCCATCAATACGAGGTGGGAAAGATTTAGTTTTGCTGGCAGGTATCAAAAATTCCTATTTGCGAACTTTTGCAATATCAATGAGAAAATTTACAGCGACAGGCCAATTTATTAATATCATATAGACCGCAGAAAGCCGCAATAAGTCAGTAGCACTTGAAGAGAAGGAGAATCATAAATCGCGTGGTGAGTAAATCAATGAAGCTCTTCGCTCGGCTTGGTAAGTGTAATAACAGGGTCTCAAAATCTTACGCGCAAAGTCAATGATCTAATCTCTGGGGTGACCTGTAACAGCAGCTAACTTCGGTCCCACTTTACGGAGTGAATAAGTCACGGACGGCAACTTACTCCCGTTATCGTGGAATGTTATACGCTTGAAATTGCTACACTCTGCGGGCGCTCGTCGTTCGACGGCTCTTGAAAAAGTGCTCGCTTGGAGCACACGGATCTCGTACATAAGACTCGGGCTGAAATTTTAATCTTCGAAGCAAACTAAGACTCAGTGTTAAATGCCGCCTTTGATATACGATAAGGATCTTCCGTTTGTAATCACATTCTCGAGTGTGTGAGATTTTTTTTCAGATCCGTGGATTTTCTGTGAAATAATATTAGATAGGGTGGGTGGTACCATGTTTTCAGGGATTGAGACGAACTGCTTGTTGTGAGATTGGTTGACCTGAGATTTGTTTTGAAGTATATCTTTGAAAAAAAAATTATAATAGAGCAAAAAAGATCTTACAGACGTGTAACAAGTAATCTTATGCTCGTTTGTTCCAGACAATCATGGACATGATAGTCAAGTCCGTCCGTAATCCGTACCCTGTGCCAGATCTATCAAGGGAGGGATCGTGGGCCACCGGTGGTCCAATACTGGATCCAAATGTTTGCCCGAATGAAAGACGATGGTACTCAAAGTTAAAGCCCCACGAACGGCTTTTCTCACACCACACTCTAACCAGCGCTCGAAAGAATCATTTTTATAGCTGCAACAAGGTGAGTTCAAATCACAAAACCATACTTATGGGCTTTTTGTATTATTTCATAGAGCTGCATTGCATAGATGTGGGTGATTAAATTTTGAACCATTTAAAAATTTACAATAGTATAGAAAAGTGTTTAGTAGGTATGGGTAACTGAAACATGTATAGTGAAAGACAGCGATTATCTTTTAAATGAGAATAATAAATAACACCAGAAACATTTTTTTGCTGCACATTCAATCAAAGTACGGCGAATTAAAATTTCCTTAGATTAAAAAGTTGATGATTTCGTAAATTTTTTAATAATATTGTAGGTTCCAAAGGATTATCTGGATTCGATGTTAACTTCTGTTTATTCGCACAAAGACGACTTATTCGTACCAAAAATGTACACCACAATGCAGCCAGAATCTTTGTACAAGGAAACGTGGCGAGTTTTACGAAACGAAATTAAGGTATTTACTCAAGAAAGCATCATCAATAATTTATTTTACTTGGTTAAGGAGTTAGCTTATTAATAAAACAGCAATACTCATTTAATTAATATTAAATATAATGCTTTTGTTACTTGCTCCCTCGTCAATAAATTAAGTAGCACGGCAGAGAAAAACTTGTTAATAAAGAGCTGTATCTGAATAATACAATGACATGTCACTATTAATAAAAAAATTGTGTTTTCCCGTAGTAAATAATATCCATCAAGTACACATTTTCGGAAAACTCAACTTTAAAAGAAACAATTTTCGACAATTATTTCACAAAAATGCGGAAAGAATCCAGTAAACGGAGGTACAATATAGCTTTACTCTCGTTATTCGTGACGACGTTGTCTTTTGCGCCGGTATCGAGATAAGTACTTGGTTTTATTAATTTACTGCTAAGCGTAAGGCAACAGTGAGGATGCCGGGTTTTTGATAAATTTTCAGTCACGTTTAGAGAGCGCGTCGGTAGATTAGATAGCGACGGCTTCTTCTCTAGACGCAAACACTAAATTTAAATAAAACTCCCGGGATGCTCGCGACCTGTTTACCTACCGCTCACTTTGAGTCACGCTCCTTTCAGCTACCCGTCTGACGTTCAACGTAGTGAACGAGAAAAATTATTTTTTCCTCCTTTCGAGCACTTTGCCGTAAACTTTTCCTCTTCGTTTTAAAGTATTTGACGAGCATGCATTTTACATTTCAAATCGAGAGATGCGGTATGCATGCTGTAACGAGCATTTTTGTTTGAAAAAACTTTTTCCGTCCCATTTAGTTGAAGTTGAAGATAAGATGGTTTATAAAACGCACGTAAAATATAATCTTATTTTTAAGCGATTCAATACTGTACGAGATAGTGTCCTTAGTTTTGATAATACTGTTGGTAAGTTAGGAACTGAAGAAGTCCTTTTTAGTGAAAAATTCTTAATGCTAGTAAAGTTATTTTGGTACACACAATTATACTAATTGCCAAGGTATATGTATATTTTGATGTGCTCTGATAAGACGTAATCTCCATAGAATTTGATATCTTACGGTTGTCTCATATTAAAAAAAAAAACCTCAAAATTCTGTACATGTGGCCAATCGATTTTTCCGCAGGTATACTCGAAGCCACCAGTACCTCTCGGCCACGAGATCAAATACGCCAACATTGAGGCAACACTAGCAGGCGACCACCCGAAACCAGGATGGTACTTTCACAAGCGACGAAACGTTCACCCGAGCAGTCTTCAGTTAGCCGCTGAGGGGCCGCATACGGATCGCACTAATCCCGGCTTCAGCAGAAAAATCGACGGGACGTATTACAGCATCTAAATTATAAGGGCATGTTTGCCTTCATATTTGTATTTCCTTACAAAAAAATTTAAATTAAATGTATTCTTGACATTCTAAATTAATCACATGCCAGCCATAAACACAATTTACTAATAATAAACTCCTACATAAATAAATACTACTTGTATACTGCTGTTTATTTTACTTCATGCTACAAAAAGAAAAATAGAAAAGAAGCTTTATGCGTACAAGATTAGCACAAATCCATCTTTACAGGTTACACTCGTGATAAAAAATTTAAAATATTTTATTTTCTTCTGAACCGATACATCATTGTCATCGGGATGATTTCCATCGAAGAGAGATAGGTCGATGGTCATCCAACCAGAAAGCTGGTGCTTGTACAGCTTAAACTATATGTGTAGGTGTAGTTTTTGATTCTCTAAAAGAAGATATTTACCTTTTATATGTTTGATGGACAAGTAACAGAATGATATAATATTTAATAATCGTGTAGTGTAGATAGGGTGATGTGAGATCGCAATCGAAAGATACTAGCACCCACCCGTTATACGATAGCTGAGATCGTGTTTACATTAATATCACAGATCTGATCATGTGCGCTGACAAATTGGCTTAGCAAGATGCTTATCTCGCGTTTATGTTACACGCGTGCATGGCCTAGCAAGACTTATACCACTAGAGACGAGGGTAAGGCCTGGACTCACCGTTTGATCTCCCTCATAAGTGTTATGGAAGTCGTAGCTTATTTCATAACGTAAAGTTCTAATTAGTTTTCATTTGTTATTTAAAAAAAATTTTGTTTTTTATATACATTTTTTTCAATCATTGTATGAACAACAAATTCCGCTGGATCACATATCTGATAATAACATGCATGTATGTCATGGTTCGACACTATTGACATTGTATTCATCAAATAATATGTGTATGACAATAAAACTACGTATAGAGCACTACTAGCAAAAACAAAGAAAAGATAAACAACAAAACATCATACCTTCAGTTTTTTGACTTTATTGTCCAGATTTTAATTTTTAGATTAATTCGTTTGCCTTCGATAACTTTCACGTTATCCTTTTCATCCCTCGTACGTATGGATTTCCAAAAATCTCATGTTTAGCAACAAAGACTCACATATCTGTTCTTGACACATCAACATATTCCGTATACAGATGAAATCTTTCACGTGCACTGACTCAATGCACGAGGAGCCAGGGACTCCACTCGTCCTATTATCCAGTAATAATCCTCCTTTGCAATAAGGTTGCAGTATCTCATAAAATAGTCACATACATATATTCTGCAGAATAGTAACGTATAAATTGGCACATATGCCCTCTCCCATCGAAATATCATTTACACATTACCCCATCTTGCAGCTACTGTTGCTGGTCGTGGTGATACGAAATGGAATAAGAGATGACACACAGCTGACCTCTTTGGCTTCTTTCTACCCCTGTGGGTATTCGTGAAAAGGTCAGTGCTGTGCCTCCCCTTGGAGCTTCTGTGGTCCGCATTGACTTGTTTTTATATTAGAGGAAGATCCTATAATCCGATAGTGATTGGTACACCTATATACATAGGACAAGAGACGATGCTCTGTTTGCTCCTGAGGAAGAGAATCGAATATGCTCATGCTGTATTGTAGAAAATCTATTTGGATAAATATGCGTTGTTCGTTGTTGTATTGGAATGACTGACATAGCATCAAATGACTTAATGATTATTTTGTACTAAGTGTCTCGTTCTTCACTCAGATCAACAGGTGTTTGTTCACAAGAATCGTGTGATTAATGATACGTAAACAAATTTTAATTATTTTCGTAAGAAAGCAGTTGGATCCTTCCATGGCTCAATGTGTTTTTATCACGAAACCTCCATGCCATTGGCGATGAAATTTATATACCCTGAAATAGAAAACAAATAAGTATAAAACTGAAGCAAATAAGAATTACCATACTCGATAACGTAAAAAAGGATGATTGGAAGTGAAGGTATGAAAAGCAAACACAAAGACGCATCTTTTTCTTGCCTTCAGAAGCCATATGCATATGTAAAAATCCCCAAAAAAAAAAAAGTAAGTCATGAATCATCGAAAATTGGAAAATTTTTTATTTGAGACATATACGTCTTTAAAGCAAAGATTTTTAAAGTTTGTACATATCAGATTTTTTTCATAAGCCTCTTACTATGTTTTTGTGTAAGAAATGGTGTTTTTTGAAACTTTACAAATGAAAAAACAAAAAAAAAAGGAAAGTTAAATGAAAACCGCAAGGAACATATCCTTATCAAATAAACTACGAAATTTAATTTTTTTTAAAAAAAGTATGTTATGAGTTACGTAATATGTTTTTACTCTTATATCCCTGAACTTTTCCAAAAGATAAAAATCTTTGTCCCCAAAGGAGCGTGTCAAAAAAATTTTTATTGATTTGGGAGTACTCCCAATCGCAGTATAATTTTCGTGGAACGGTTCATAAATGTAGAGTAAACGAAAGTAGAAAACAAAGAACAAATCAAGCGAGAATAAAACCAAAGAATAAAAAAAGAAAACTAGACGCTGGCGTGTGCGAGGGCGGCAATTCTTTCATGGATTACTTGACACAGGCTCCACACGCAATTGGAGCAGATTGATTTCCTCCTCCTTTTACTTACATACTCTGCACCCAATGTACCTACAGACATACATACAATGTACGTCTACAAACGAACACAGAGAAACACGAATACGCGCGTACATCCACAGAAACAATGGAGGGTGACATGCAGGACGGCAACGTTTCTCTTTTGCCAAAGGGAGATGGGGGAAGGAAGAGAAAAGGCAGTGGCAAGAGAGCGAGTTGCTATTGGAGTACAGGAGGTGGCGGGACCGCAGGGGGAGCCAATTACTTGGCCGAGCGGTTTTATTTGTATTTAATTCTTATTTAATTTACTTTTTACGGCTGTGCGCCAGCTACTCTCCTCGTCGTTGTTACTGCCACCACGGTTAACGATATCGGGGTCGTATCTCTTATTTTTCTTCGTTTGTCCCCAGGAGAAGAGCAGTGAGGGAAAAGCTTCGTGGGAGAGACTCGAGCTCGCGGAAAGATCGACCGTGAAAATGGATACTTTTATACATACAGTTTGCTTTAATTTAACGTGAGTGGAAAGGACAGCTTCTTACTCGTGGTGACGTGAATTTATAGTTTCTCGTCGCCGTATCAAGCTATCGTGCGACTTTTTTCAACAATCTTATATTAACTTAAAATTTTTTTCGGTCACAAGCAGTTCTTATGGGTGGCTTACTGCACATGCTTCTGAGAAGGAGTTTATGTGATAATGAATATTTTTTGAACCACTTAGATTAGAAGGCTTTGCAGAATGTGTATGTGCTTCTATATATTTTGATTTATACTTATAAGGTATTTGTTTATTTCATACAGTTATTTGAAGGCCGCACAGCCAGTTATGTCAATGTTATTAAGATCGTGTGTTATTTATTGTTTGCTTATAGACAGGTCGAAATCATAATACATTTGATCTGCTAGGAGCAAAAATAATGGACGAGTCCTAAGATAATAGATATCGTGATTCAGAAAACTTCAAGAAACCAAATTATGAAAAATAACAATTATGTGTCCCGAAACAAAACCTAAAAATCTACAATTACATTGGAATCTTTTAAATTATTGAATAGGTAACAATGTCAAAAAAATCTATTATGACCGTTTGGTAGATTATCAAAAAATAATGGACACGTATTTTTTTATTTTTTTATTTTCACAACAAAAACTGTGAGACCGTTACTCGTTTAACGAAGTGATGTCATAGGGGTACATGCATTTAAAATGTATTTATTTTTACGATGTGGCTCCAAATTTTGACGAGTTCCATCTTAATCAGTTAATTTTCATCTGAAAAAAAAACCGTATTTCATGTATTTCAACGAATTTTAATGAAAATAATTTTTTTTATTCCTCGTTATTATTATGCATGTCATTTTTTACGCATGTTTTGCAGAAGTCGTGTACCTTTTGACTATTGTTCTAAGGATAATTCTTGCAACATGGTACATCTATAAAAAAATGACTCCACTTTGCTTGGATAAGTACTCAGAAAAATCTATCATCTCGCAAAGCCCTAAAACTAATCACACTAAAAACTTCCTTCTAATATTTACTACTCTTGCTAATTGACTTTTTGAGTGGAAACTTTACAATAACGTAAAAGTAAATTATTATAACTTACGATCGAGGGGTCCATGTCCCATTTAAATTAAGCTAAATGGAGTCACCCCAAAATCACATATAGAGTGTATATAGATATTATTTTTTTGGGTTTTTGGTATCAAACTTCATGATTAATTAAAACGTAAATAACGTCAAGATAAAGCAAATGACGATATAGAAGAAAAAGTAAGCCGTTTAGTCAACTTAACTGTCCACGCTCTCTACATCATTATTATTTTTACCACACATTTTCCCATTCGTGATAGCCTTCTTTTTTTTTTTAATCGCAAATATTGACTTTGTTTAAAAAAAACATTTGTTTTAAACATTTTCGCATCAATTAATATAGATAAAAATTTGAAAAGTCAAAATAAATCAGAATTTCAGTATTTTATGTATAGTTTCTTTAATTTTTAGGTATTCAATTGGAATGGGCTATAAAGTTATTTGTGAGATAATTAAAAAAGGTAATGGTATCAGGGAAATAGACCCTTTTTAAAATGACAGTAGCTTACTTGTCCAAAAAAATTCTTTATTATTCAATGACACAAAAATGTCTCTTGAGTCAGCGTTAAAACTTTTTATCTCATAGTTATAGTGGGGCTGAAATGATCTCACTATTTTCAGCTTCCCCTAAGATATAAAAACTTGATGTCATGAGAGGATTTGTGTCAATTTTAAAAGTGCTGTTGTTTAAATTGCATCTGAATTCTTTGGCTCACAATTTTGTACGATGAATAAGCTGGTTATAAAAATCTACGTCCTATGCATCAATTTCGCATTATCGGTATGTAAAAAAAAACTTTTGCAACCTCATTAAGAAAGCTGTATTATTATTAGTACTATTATTATAGTTTTTATTATTATTTCTGTTGTCATTGTTCATATCATATGACTTACCTTTCATAATCATGGACTATTTGGTTCTGAACAGCTGGTTCTATCGCAGTTACAGTTTCTGATACTTACAAATTTCTACATAAGCTCTAGGCCTCAATAATGAAAAGTTTCTTTTTGAAGCTTTTCATGTTTTCCAATAAATGATTTTTTTCTGGTAAAATTGTTCTAAACTCAATTCAATAGTTTCTTCCTCTTATTATTGTTAAAATTCAGATGGTAACAAGTAACGATTTTTCCAATTATCTTTCTTGGAAAGAAAAAAAGGAGTATTAATAAATAAACAAACCTCAGTTGACTCAAACTCCGAAGCTAATGACATATCCTACCGAGTCGTTCAACGCTTCCGCAGCCGCATTGAAGTTTGGAAAGTCTCCTTACTTGCAAGCCGTTTCCGAAATACTGACAGTGCGCCAACTCAATAGACGGCTTGAGATTGCCGAAGCCTACAAGATTCTTTATGGTCGGGACCTCGTGGATGATCTAACAAAAAAACTCTTTCATCAACTCAAAGACGTTTATGAGGCCTATATGACTCCGCTAGCTGATTACTTTGCTAAAGGACTGCACCATGCTATGGACGGCCTCGGCACCGATGAAGTGACTCTCATGGAAATACTTTTTACTTTAAGCAACGAAGTAATTAAGTCAACCGCCGCTTCTTATGAAAAATGTGAGTATTTTAAAACTTTGTTTAATCTTATTTTTTCTATTAGGAACAAAGTGATTTTGATATAATTTATCGACAAAAAACATTTTTCCGCCCTCGGGTGGTTTTGGGAGGCTGGTACTTCCTCGGGCGAAAAAGCAGTTTTCCGGAACTCGTTCGAAAAGTCTCCTTTACGAACCTCGTTACGTCCCTCGCCTTCGGCTCGGGCCGCAAACCTCTCGGTTCGCAAACAGAGACTTTTCAAACTCGTAGGATAACTACCATTACTTCATTATTTTTTATTTTTTGAGAAATAAAAACACTTGTACGACTAGCACAATTTTTCAGCAGCTTATGCACTGCTTTAATTAAGCTTTATTCATAAATTTTATATGAAACACAACAGAGTTTCATCATTTCAACGTGATTGATATTATATAGGCATAAACATGCTAAAGTTGGCTTATTTATAACATGTGCAGCCATCTTGTTTATAGATAATATGCTTTTAACTTTTTTAAGTTGTAAGAAATTAATACTATTCTGCCGCAACTAATATTGTTTCTATACGTTATATTGGAATCATATTTATTGGCATACAAGTTCTTACGCAGTATATAACAGAAGTCTGGAGAGCGATGTAATCGATGACACATCTGGTGGCTTCAAGTCGCTCCTCTGTATGACTATCAATGGCAGCAGAAATGAAAATCAGATAATCAGCTCTTATTGGGCTACTCATTATGCCCTGGATCTCTTCATGGATGGTAATACAGTAATTTTGTAATTAATACTGAAAAATAGTAATTTTAAAGTATAAAACAGCATGGATCCATTTATTATTCTTTCAGATGAATCAATAAAGACATCAGAAGATAGATTTACAACCATCCTTGGTACTTGCAGCTTTAAAGAGCTTAAACAAATCTTCATTGAGTATAATGAAATATCTGGCCATAGCATTGAGAAAGCCATCAAGAGCAAACATTTTTCTAGAGATCTTGAAATGGGTCTTCTTCAAATCGGTAAATTAAATCATTGCTTCTCTTAGTGATCATTAATCGTACAATAATATCTCATTAATTCTTCCATTCTTTTGTAAAGTTCAAATTGCCAAATCGAAAACTGGTTACTTCGCTAAGCGTCTTCATGATAGCTTCGGATTTCTGTATAACAACGACTGCACTCTGATCCGTATTATTGTTACGCGTAGAGAGATAGATCTTCAAGATATCAAGAAACAATTTAAGGAACATTATGGAAAAGAACTCAGAACTATGATAGCTGTAAGTTAAAAAATTTGTGTACTATCACTTAACAATTACTTCTGATTTTGGTCCTTTACAGACTTTATTGTTTGATTTTTTTAAATACCTCAACATAATGAATAGGTCCCTTACTTTTTCTCCATAATTTTCACACTAATAATTGTTTAAAGTGTCTATTTGGGTTCATAGTAACTTTTTCATTCACTCTTGCTTACTTTAATTTAATATGAATAAAATTTTTCAATCACCTAAAAAAATAAAAAAATAGCCTCACGTTTAAAGTAACAAAAAAAAAAAAAAATGTATAATACCTCAGCATTTTACTAACTAAAGAGTATTCCAAAACTATGAGTTAATAGAAACTAAAATTTCAAAAATATTTTTGGGTAGTACATTTTCCAGATATATTATTTTTTAAGCTTAAGTTTTTTTATTATTCGCGATTTTTCGAGGGTTTTTGGTTGTAAATACAGTACCTCTCTGTTGGCGTTTTAATTTTAATTAACAACAATTATTAGCGCTGTTATGTTTTTTGTTTCAGGAAAATACATTAGGTCATTATAAGGAATGTCTTTTCTTCCTTGTAGCAGCATGAAACTCCATCGGCTCAGTTATAATTTGCGACGTATAAGACAATAACATAAATCATTGAAAAATTTTGTTGTACCACGTTTACTTCAGTTTCACTGTTAAAGTCGATACTCTGCATCTCATGCTTTCATTCTTTCCATAGTGTAAATCGTAGAAGAATTATAGTTTTAAACACAAATAGGAAGACTTTTTGAAGATATATACACGATAATACTAAACATTTGGTGGCTATCTAATGGTAATATTTATTCCTTAAAATTATTTTTGGACTCGTGTGCAATAATGTACGGACACAGAATTTATTATTTTGGGTATGTATGACTTACAGAAAGATATATTTGCTTTAAGCAGCTTAATCAACGTGTTCAATATTGCTGGATGTTAAAAAAAAAATAAAAAAATAAAAAAAAAAATTAAACGAATTTGTAGCTAGTCAAAACTATACTAAAACCGTCTAGGAAGTGTTAACAACCAGTATGCAAAATTTTAGCAAGATTGGTTAAGTAGTTTTCGCGGTTAGCGATCACAACGGTTTTAGCGACTTTACTTTATAATATACTACTACTAGTAAACTGCTAGTACGACTAGTAATATAAGATTAATGTTATAATCAAATCTAATAAAGAAATAAAAACTTGTACCAGCTGCATGGAAAAAAAAATCTTTCTCAAACTCTCATTTTCCACTTTTTTGTATTGTAAATAATTATTTAAAACCTCGTTTTAAATATGACTTAATCAAACATAAATTTTTTACTAAACGGGTATACGAATTTTAATCAGTACGATAAATTTTAAACAATCTTTTAAGAAACTTTACACGTTGACGTAATTACTCAGTTAATTACGATTAATAATTTTTTATTAATGTTATCACAAAGAGTTCATTAAAAAAATTTATGGTCAGACCACAGAGTTAAAAAATGTTTGTCTAAATATTTTTGATGACAATTTACAATACGCTAATTGCACTTTATTTTATTGGAAAGCTCTGTAAATCAGGCTCTAAAAAAGCTGTAAGTTTAAAGCTGATAATTTTTGACGACTCAAATCTTAAATAAATGTCCCTATTACTATGTATATTGCAGAGATCTAAATTTATTTATGTACATTTTGCGTAGTCTTTTTTTTGGAAGTAATATATAAACATAAACTAGTATGAATATAAACTAGTCATAGACTGTTCGATACCTGAAAATATAATGTACGTGATAAATGTGTGGATGCACTAAACACAGTGAGGCTTTTAATTTACGAAAAATAAATATCAGCATAAGCTCTGCAAAGCTTGCACATGTGTACGAGTTAATTCTTGTCGTGAGGATAAGCTGTTTGTTTGCAAAACTTCAGATACATTTTTTTGTTATGTTATTATTTCTTTTTGGTTTTTCTAAGAATAGTTCTTGGAACATGATGTATCGAAAATACATTTACTATTTTTTGGTTGGTTAACTACTAAGTATTTTCAATCAAGTATTTCACAGAAAAAATTGACGTAAAATTGATTAAAAACAAATAATTTACAATTTATAAGTTGTAGTTTTTATTAACTTAAAAAAAAAAAGAAACAAGTAAAATAATGCTAAAACATTAATTTTTATTTTAAAATCCTGTACTGTTCAAACCTATACAATAGCATTTTCACTTAAAAATTAAAGCAGTGTGATTAAGATGTAACATACTGTGTACAGGGCGACTATTACTGTAGGTATCTAAATAGATTATGGTCTAATAATATTGTTGAGTGATTTATGAGCACTCTTGGTAGTACGTTGTATAGGCAATTTCTCCGTTCGTCTATAATGATGTATTGTTTATTGATTTAGCAAGTAAAATAATTTTTTTTTTTTTTCAAGAAAACATTTTTAAGATTAAAAAATAAAAAAATAAAATATTTTCATAAAAGTTTATAGTGATTGTGAAACATGTGCAGAGTAAAAGTTTGTGATATAAAAAAATGAGCTAAGACCTATTTTCATACACATAAACCCAAATTAATTAATCTATTATTTTATCAACTTTTTTAAGTTATCTTTCACCACTGATTTACAATAAGTTTTTAGTATCGTTGAAACAAATTCTACGTATTTTTAAATTACTCACGTGCTACTAAGACTTAATTAGTAAAATTGGTTGTAGTTTTTATGCCCGTATGAACATACATATAAATAATACAATGACATAATTAAACTTGTTAGTGGTGATTTTGTAACTTATTTAATGAAAGTGAAAATCCAAATTTTAACTGAAAAATAAAAAAAAACGTTATTTAAGTAGTTTATATTTACTCCTATTAAACCAATAAAGGTCCACACATACATTTTTTTTATTCTATGAATTTTGACTACTTACAGATAGCTCGATTACATATTTTTATAATTATTTATTTTATCATTGATCTATTTTCAAAATTTTTTAAATTAATTGCAATTCAAATCGGGAATTCAAGGTAAGGTCAAGACTAAAGAAAAACTTATACATATCTAGGCCAAAATCATACCTATGTTCTCAAGAGTTTTCGAAAGTAATACAAGTGTCATGTATGATAACACATACTATGTGTACGAGTTTTGCTGTCTCCACCAGAAGGGCAATAGCTGTAGAAAAAGAGAGGGAGAGAGAAAAGACTAAGGTATAAAACTAGTGATGGAGTAAGGAAAAGCTCTCGAAGAATAAACGTAGAATACATCGGTTAAGTTTCGAGACCATTATGCACGATACAGCTCTTCCCTCGCATATTTGATTAAATAACAACTAAATATAAAATTCATTGTGTTTATTAAGTGAGCACCAATATCCATAGTCCCGCACGTAACACACGTTTTTTACATTTTGATTGATCTCTTGTTAAGCTCTTTTCTGACATTTTAATCTAACTAAAAAATACACAAGTACACTTAGCTTGAAAACTTGAAAATTTCAACAGCAGTCAACTTAGGATATGTCCGTGAGCAATTATAATTATAAACTAAAGACAAATAGTAAGAAAGAAAAATAAAAGGAAAAATTTTTATCTGGGTGAGCGAAATCTGCAAAAGGGGGTTTGCAGTCATACGTACAAATAAGCACTCACATCTCCCGTTGGAAAAGAAAACGCGTTGATCCCTTTTCGGGGGTTGAAAAGGATAGTGCAGGGGATGAAATAGCTGTGTAGGTATATCTGTTCCAGTGAACTTGTTATGTTATATTTATTATCAGCACTCCGCAGCAGTCGGAATATTTTTTTTACCTCTCACTTGAACCACGTTTTACACTCAGCCTACTCTCTTTCTCACTTTTTGTTCCTCTCTTTCTCTCTCAGTTGCTGTCTCTCTCTCTCTCTGTGTCTCTCAGTGTTACCCTGTACATATTATACTTTCCACTTGTGATTTCTCTAGGTAAATATAGTTGTGTAACATAATGCTGGATTAAAAATGTTCTGCGGAGGCGTTCATCTTTACGCATTTAATTTTTTTGCATTTTTTTTTTTATAAATTAGCTACCAGAAAGGTTAGTAATGTGTGCATGAAGAGAGAGACAAACTACTGGATGTTTCCAGAGCTCGGTAATGAGCTATATACTCGCACTTTCAAGTTTTTTCTGGTTTACGAGTTCTACGAAATTCGTTAGTGAGCGAGTTTTAAAGTGGTTCCCTTGGTAAGGAAAGAATGCAACTATCAAGATGAATACTCTAGTTTGATACAAAGTTTGTCCGGAAATGAAAATTCTTTTATCCTCTCGAAATAAAATCTAACCTAAAATAGAGTATTTGCGTCGTCTATAATCAACAAAAATGGGCTGAAAATTTACGATAAGTCAAAACTTTGTAACCTTATATTATTTCTACATGCATTAGGAGTAAGTGTACAAAGTTTCGAGGGTAGATGTGGAATAAGAAAAATTTTAGAAGGTGTTTAGTAAAAAGGTGTCTTGTTATGCAGACTTACAAAGGATATCCATAAGCATTAGTATGATTCTGCGAGCTGTTTGTCTACGTTTATAATATAATAACTTTGTTCATAAAAAGATGATTAAAAAAAAATTTTTTTAATTTTTGTCTTCCAACCAGCTATACGTGGTTAAAATTTTATGTAAATTGTAAATGTTGTTTCAGAGATATTTCATGATAAGTACGATTTTAAATGAGAATTTTGATGCTCGTTATATTGAAAATTTGACTTCCATTGTTTAATAACAAAAAAACTAAATGCACGAACAATCATAAAATATTCAAGCATGTTCCGGAAACCCTACAGATTAATGCATAAAATTTCCATAACTTTTGTAAATAAAATCTTAAGTTGCGGGAACCAACATAATATTCTTTATTGGTTTGTTAGAGGGAAAAGGCTTCAAGCTCTTTCTTGATATTAATTTTTTCATGATTTTGCGAAAAAGGTTTACAAAATAGGTTTGAAATATGTTTGATAAAGTTATAATTATAAATTAATAAAATTTTGTCAAAAACGATTTATACGTCAGACACACCTAACGTTGTTATTTTTACAACACTTGCACGTTTTTCTATGATGTGCTTCCCAAAATCGAGTAGCTGTTCGTACTAATACCTTCTCAGATCAAAAAATACCGTTCAAAAACAGTTTGAAGTGTACTAAAGTCATCAGCCCCTTAAAACCTGTTTGTACGCACGGGTAACGTGCATCATGTACGCATTATAGTGTGGGAACAGATTGCGGTAGGCCACGCGTGCGACGCGCGCATATGTTTATTTTTTCATTTTAAAATCATGATCGTATGATTTTTGTTATTGCATTCTAACGTATTCTCTCAAGCTTTCGAGCGTTGCTTACGCTCCAAGGTATTTTTTATTGAATTAATCGTAGGTCACAGATAATTTTATTTTGCCGTATTGAAGTAATATGTCAATTCTACAATATGTTACATTGAATAAATGATTTTATTTTGAAATTTCATTTGGAATGAATTAGCTTATAAAGTAATGAAGTTTAGCGTGTAACCACGACAGCAACAATCTTTACCTTAGAAAAAACATACACTATGACGTTAATTTTTACAAATGTGTTGTTATTTTCTAAAATAGTAATAAAAAAATTTTGGTTATTGTTCATTATTTTCTTAGCTTTTTACTTTTGAGACATAAAAATGATTGATTTTGATTGTTCTCCTAAATCAAATTCATAGAAAATTGTATTTTTAGGAAACACAACTATTCTCAACTATGTATAAACCTTGAATATCACGTCTTTTGAAATAAAGGATAACATAGTAACAATGTTAATCATTTGTAATGTTCATATACATTTTGTAATATCCTCCATCGCATATACTTCCAATAAGCAATTTCTTTACTCAAAAACGATATTCAATTTGCTATTGATTTGATTGATATATCTTTATATCGATGAACTCAACTGGAAGTAATAAGTATAAAACATTAAAAACGTCATTTTGTTATCTTTTTTATGGATAAGACTTAAACAATTAATTAGATAGTTATAAAGAGCAATAATACTGAATAAAAAATGACGTTGAAACTATTAGCTAAATCGTCGCAGCAATACCGTCAACTATAACATTTCAACGTACATTTGAAACTAAACCAGGTATTGTTTGAAATAAGTAAAATAAAGGGGTGTATGTTGATTTTTTATTTGGAGGGTACGCTATGTAGAATTTAGTATTTAATGATATCACTGCTATATTTGACTCCTAGATTCAGTTTCATAATAAATAAACCTTTTTTTAACAATCATAACTCTTTAAAATGCAAAGTAATATTATATTTTAAAAATAATAACAGTGGGAGAACTGTTGAAAATTATCAGCTGAGCTAGCTCAGACATATAATTAGAGCTCGCTTGTAGTGGGGCTAAAATTAGACGTATCTATATAAATTCAATTCTTCTACTGGATTTCTGTCAGTTTAAAAAGTGCTACTGTTTGAATGGCTTCTTGAGCCTTTTCTATTCTAAAACAAAATGAGTACTTTGATTGTAATAATTTTCGCCTTGCAGACCAGCTTTGGTTTATCAGTGAGTTAAAATATGCTTCTTCATAGTATAAGCTTTTTCCGTTTTTTTTTTTTTCTACTTATTCATACGATGACGGTGATAATTATTGTTCTTTAATCAAGAAGACAGAATTTAATGAAAATAATCGATAAAGTGGCTACATCCTATAAGGATCTTGCTGAAACATGAAACTATTCCCGAATACAACCAATTATCAAATTTATTTTGGAAAAATGGTAATTTTATTACAAAATTCTGAAACAGAGAGAACTCAAGTTTTTATTGACTTTCTGTAACTTATAACTTTCTGTACATTGTAGACAGACGCTCTGCCATTTATCATTATCATCATTACCATCGTTGTTGTAGTTGTAGTTGTTGTTTTTGTTATTGATGTAATTATTATTGTAATGTTATTGTTATTGCTATTGTTGTTATAGTTAGTATTAAATCATAGACTGTTGAATCATTTTTTTTTCAAATACGTTCGAAACTAATATTGTGACAAATTACTATCTTATCATTTTTCCTCTAAAAAATATAGAAGAAATGTTAATAAAAATAAAAAATTTATTTCAGCTAACACAAACTGCAAAGCCAACATTCTATATAATTAAACCGTTCAACAGTTCTGAGGTCGCGGAAACGCTCTGGAAATACATGAGAAACCTCACTTCTTACCAACACGGTATCATCGATATACTTAAGGAGCGTCGACTCAATCAACGGGAAAAAATCATTGAGGCTTACCAGATAAAGTACAACCAGGACCTTGTGAGCGACTTGAAGAGCTCTCTCCCCGTTAAGTTCGAGGACGATATTGTGACACTTACGACTTTGCCTCGATCGCTCGATGACTATGCAAAAGAGTTGCACCTTGCTATTTTTAGCTCTCAATCTAACGAAAAAGTCATTAATGCCAGTATTAGTATATTAATGAAGCACAGTGCTGACCAGCGGATCAATATCGCCGAGGCTTACAAGACTCTCTATAAACAGGACCTTTTGAGCGATCTAAAGATAAAATCCACCGGAAAGCAAGAAGACATCATTGTAGCACTTATGACTCCATTACCTGATTTCTACGCTAAAGAGCTGCACGATTCTATGCTCGGCCTGGGCACCGATGAAGATACGATTATTGAAATCCTCTTCACTTTGAGCAATGAAGTAATCATGTCGACAGATGTTTCTTATGAGAAACGTGAGTATTTTAAAACTTTGTGTACCATATTTTTCTTTGTTTTTCGTTCGATAGTGTCATTCAGAAGAAACATTTTCTTAAAGCGACAAAAGTGCTCCGATATCAGATATACCTTCAACTTTTTAAACTGTTTTTTAAGTTGAGAATCTATCTAAAATATTAATTTACTAGCTTTCATATACTTATGAGTAAATTCATAAAAAATACCTCAGTCCCCCAGTTTGAGAAAACAATTTTTTTGAGGCTCATCCTCGAGGCTTGTTTTGTGAGCAATGTCATGTACTATGACATGTGTCACCTTAATTGAAATCCCTGATTATGATGTTTTTCCTCATGGTATACGACATTGCGAATAAAATGAGCCGCATCTCGTGGGTGTACCTAAAAAAATTTTTTTTTGTAAAACAGAGGACCACTTTGGTATGTTTTTTATGGATTTGCTCTTATACTACGCTCATACTACTTAAGTTTTAGTAATATGGTTCCAGTAATGAATAACGTGGTACCGTAAAGACTCAAGATAACAGTATAGATAATACTAAAATTTTTAATTATTATTTTTTAACAAGGAAGAAAATGATCAAACCATTTGTTCGACCTTATTAAGTGTATGATCATTTTTCAAACAAAAAAAAATTGTTTCTCACCCAAGTGAATTCCTTTACCCATCATGTAGCCAACATTTTTTTTTTTTTTTTTTGTACACACACATATTTTAAAGCATTTGTCAGACGGAAATATGGCTTTTGTCAAAGTTTTTTAAACAGTATAAATCGTAGACAATAGTTATAAGAATTTAAAGCATTCAGAAATTAAAAAAAAAAGTATGTACAAGTCGAATTTCGCCTACATTTAGCGGGAACACATTGTAACAATTGTAACAGTACATAAATACTTAATAAACACAAATTATCCCTATAATAATCGTTTTGTTTACAACTAATATCATTTTCGATACGTAAAATATAGTAATGTTTGTATTCTGCCCCACGGAACATTGTTTTAACGTCATGTTGAACATTATATCTTTATTCTCTTTACTTTTTTTCCCACAGTTTATGGCAGGACTCTTCAGAATGATTTGATAGATGATACATCCGGTTATTTCAAGCAATTGCTTGTTTTCATTGCTAATGGTCGCAGGGAAATGAACCAGGGTATCGATTATAACCAAGCTAAAGTTGATGCTGAGGCTCTTTTCACCGTTGGTAATATATTCATTTACATATATAATATGATTATGCAGTTTATTTTAAAAGATAGTGTTGATGTATTTATCACCTTTGCAGACGAGAGAAAATGGGTATCAGACCAGAGTAAATTTAAAGGTATCCTCGGCACTCGCAGTTATCAGCATCTCAGACAAACCTTCATCGAGTATAAAAATATTTCCGGTCACGAAATCGAGGAGGCCATAAATGGTAAAAGCTTTTCTACAGATTTCAAGAAAGGTCTTCTTGAAATTGGTAAATTCAATCGTTCTTTTTCTTACTGTTCATTAGTTGATGGAATTTTTCTATTCTCCTGATATCCCACAAAACGTTTTTTTTTTATACAGTTAAATATGCTAAATCAAAAATTGACTTCTTCGCTGAGCGTCTTCACGACAGCATTGGCATCAATGACCGAGCTCTGATTCGTATCATTGTTACACGTAGAGAAATAGATCTTAAAGATATTAAAGAAGCCTATCAGGAGCGTTATAAAACATCGCTTGAAAGTCGAATTAATGTAAGTAGTTGATAGTTTTTTCTTTTCTTTCTCATTTTATTATAATGTCTAGTTTAAGTCCTTCATAAAATTAATAGCCGAGCACTCTTTAGTAAGCTTAAAAATATTTCGGGGGTATTCAATAAGCTCTTTTTTGAGAGTTTTATTTTCATTATTATTTAAAACTAGTAATTTCGTCTAAGATTCAACTCTTTAAACTATCTGTAAAAAAAAGAATAGGCTTGCAGTTTGAGAAAAAAAAAAATTAAGAATATGTTAGCGATTTACATAATTCATAAGATAAAATTTTTGATTTATGAAAAGTTTATAGAAATCAAAATTTCGATAATTTTTTTTTGCTAATACTAAGGCACACCGTGCAAAATCTGATGTTCTTTTACACATTGATAGAGATACATATAAAACTCTTAAGAGAATATAAAAAATTCTGTTAAGTATAACACAAAAAAAAAATAATAAAGTAGCACCTTTAATGCTACCGGAGTTATCTTAAATCTAAAGAATGCCGTTTTGTCCAATAAATGTGATTCAATGTCTAAGATTAAATTTTTTGACAATCTGGCGTCAGTTAACAACAATTTATAAGTGTATTAATGTTAGCGTGGTTAATGTTTTTCTGTTTCAGAAAAAGATATTTGGCGCTCATAAGGATTTGCTTCTTTTACTTGTGTCAAAATAAATCGTTCCTGCATCGGTACACTTGTAATTTTTATCGAATTATATAATTTGTAAGTCTTAAAATATGTACGTAGCATTTGTTTTGTACTTCTAGGTACATTCTTAGACTTATTCTCATGTCCAATTTAATGGATTTTTAAAAAGTAATAAAATTGAGGCTTACACGGATAATTTAGGAATAATCAAAGATCCCCAGAGCAAACTGTTTCCTGTATTTGTACACATTAATACTACAATTATATTTTACAATACATAAGATAAAACTTCGGACCTTACGCTCCAATAATTTGTCTGTTGTTAGATATTGAAAAAAGGAAAAATACAGTCAGAGGTTACTGTCAAACAGTCAATAAAAAAAAAAAAACTTTATTTCGTGTACGCATAATATTGTTTTATTAAAAAAAAAAAATTAAATGATAGATCAACTTGTTAAATTATTTGATACATGTTGTACCACTTCTTGTAATTCTTTAAAAATTAAAAATACTGCCAGTTAAACTACAGCTTTTTCAGTATAAATGTTCACCACTACTTCTTTATATTATAAGTTATTATTTCAAACGTTGATTTAAATATTATTTACCGTAAACATAATAAAATTCTTAAAGTTTTTTATGATACTACTTACTGATAAAAACTATTTCTTAAGAACTTTTGATAGAATTATGGCAGTGATGCTAATGACTGCAATGTGATCAAATTTTAAATCAACAATTATAATAGCTATGCAGTGAATTTATTTTTATTAATATTAAAATACAACGCTTCGCCCACATATGTACGGCCCTCTTTAAGTACAATATTTGAGTAGCGTCAAAAAATTACCAACTTAAAACTACTATGCCCAAATTCTACTACTTTGTTACGTTTACGTTGAATTTGGGCACAGTAGTTTTAAGTGGTTAATTTTTTTAACAAATATTGTACCTGAAGAGGTCTGTACAGTCAACATATTGTGTCTTAATATTAATAAAAATAAACCGACAGCATAGCTATTAGAATTGTTGATTTAACTATTGACAGACTTTTGTAAGCATATAAATTAGAAGTTTTGCAAAATTTTGTTGAATTTTTGAAGAAACTTTTCCGAAATTCCAATTTTTCTACGTGAGAAGCGCGTGCCGTCGCAGAAGTTCTAAGGATCAGAGCAAACAACGAGGAAAGAGAGTGAAGCTGCGAGCGCCCTCTCCAAGAGAAGATTACCTTCGAGGGCAGCGGCAGATCTCTTCTGTCTCGCAACCTAACGGGAAGACTCTTCCCTCTTCTGTATACATACATACATAGTATCGGTATCTGACTATACATGTAGATACTTTGTGAGCGCTTACATTATCATACTATTCCTCGCTCTCTTGAAAATGCTTAAAATAACATGGATCAGAAGAAGAAGAAAAAGAGGAAGAGGAAGGAGAAAAGACGAAGAAGGCAAGTAGAGCAATTTTATCATCCGGCAAATAGATATAAGTATTTCGGTTGGAGAGCGAGATAATCCCGAATAATGGACGAAGAGACGGACGCTCACACGCTGCGTTGGTACTTATGGAGCGCTCGCGTCTATTTTCATTTCTACTGAGGTGGTCGTCGTATATACAATATATGTATGCTGTATGAACGTGTAGGAAAATGAGTAAGTTTAGTGTAAAAGAAAGTATCGTAGGATTGAACCGCAAACCAACAGTAGATTAGTATACGGGAAAGGAGGCTCATTTTGGTGTCGTTTAACGACGATGGCTCCAGATGAAAATTCAATTCAAATAAGAATCAGAGAGTAAGATATACATGTAATTTAGTTAGTTAGAGTACGTAAATTAATCGCGTGATTGTAGAGGTTTTGACAAACAATTTTTCAAAACAGCGCTAATTTCATCTCATGAGAAGTGTACAGAAACTGACGTTTATTATAATTTACTTAATTATTATTTACTTAGTTCTGTAAGTGAAAATTCACAATTCCATATTGCAAGCTCATCGATCGGAAGTACATCAGTGGATCACAGAGACGTGGGAAAGTTCCACGCCCATTCATTATAAAAGGCAAGTAATGTACACATGCACATATAACACTGCGGCGCTTATGTTGATCCAATTGTATGTACATGTACATGTACATGTGATATCCATCGAGCATCGCAGTCGGCCCTTGCGCTCCGTCCTTTTCCCTGTAGCTTGCCACTCGGCAAATCACCAGCCCGGAAAATATGACGAAAACAACATACCCATTATATTATCGTCAGGCACAGTCGAGTCATAGTGGTACATGAAGTGGAGTCAGGGCTGAGAATTATGACAGCTCGACAGACTGGCTGACTGACTGACGTTTTTTTTTTTCCCGGGAAATCCAATAAACGACAAGAGGGGATTAATCGAAATTGTCTTATCGAACTTTTTGCCTGGGCGTGTATGAAATTGTAGTATGTGAGGTTATAACTTACGCTGAAAAGATTGGTGTATTGGTTTATTTTGTTATTGCAGGGAAAATGTGAGCGATGCTTTATAAAATGTTTTCGATTCTTGAAAAGGTCAAGGCCTACGGTAGATTGTGGGTGTGATTGGGCCATAATTTTAAAAAACTGTAATATTAAAGTCCACAGGATTAAATCAAGAATAATATTGACTCCCTGATTGAGGATATGGTCTTAAATTTTAAATCTACTTGAATATTGTTTTTTTTTATTCTTTGTTTGGAAGCTCGTAAAATTTTACTTAAGCACAAATAGCGTGGTGTATCTCTTACTTTTCTTTACTTTTCTCTATTAAATTTCTATTGCTATTCTTCAGTTACTTTAAATGTCATCTTATTTGTTTATTATTTATTTTTTACTACTTATTGTACTTATTTGAAAACATCTGATTATCAATTACATCGAATATTTATTCCACAGAACAAAATGTTTATGGACTTTCTATTTATTGCAGTAACATAAACCATGGTCCTCTTTAAATTTCACAGGTAGACCAAGCAAATTGATTATATAATTCGATAAAACTTATAGTGAATACTCGTTTTCACATGGAAAGTTTCCTTACAATTTGTAAACACAGAATTTTTATCCTCTTCATTCGTGAAAAAAAAACCGATGTTCATACAATGTCTTCATGACAAACGGCAAAAAAAGAGAGATAATGTCCCCACGTCATAAATATAAATAATTGCACGACAGTTCAAACCTCGTTCTTGTCATTTGCTTATCATATCTCAATAGAGTCGCAAAAATAATTATCACTGGGTAATCTCAACACCAACATGTACCTTAAAACGATGAGTTTTTTGTCATTTTTATGCGCCCTCTATCTAGAGATTTATGTGGGTTCATCGTTCGATTGGAACGCAATTGCCAAATTTTTCGCTGCCCACAATGTGTAATTTTTCGTAAACCATCCAGCAACAAAGAAGCCGATATGCATTTTTTTTGGTGGCACTGACAAGGTACATTGGCCCGCCAGGAAAGCTTTAATTATTTGTTCAGTTAGCCGCCGAAATATGATGACTGCGTGTGCGAGGAATAAGTAACGTACAATTCTTTTTCTTCTCTTACAGACATCGTAGTGACAATCGCATTGCAGTAATCATTATTATGTTATGCTAGCTCAAGTTCACGCAGCTGACGCATTGTACCTGCGTGAAAACAAACACGTGCGACTCGTGTCACGAGAATGAAATATTTCTGGAGGTGATAATGACACGAAGGAAAGAAATGGAGAAGTATGAATTTCACAATGTGTGCCCATGTGATATGTATGAATATTTGCGTGAACTTGCGAACAAGTTTTTTAAACACAGTGAGGAAGAAAAAAGTTGTTCGTGAACAAAAAGCTGTTCCAAAGATGAAAAAAAAAAAGAGTTTATAAAACTGCGAACGACAATGCAGAGAAAAAGAGAGATAATATATTTTTGTTTCCATGGTACATTTTTCATGATGATAAAAAAATTAAATAAAACAATAATCCTGCGCTCAAAAATATCCCGTTAATGAAACACAGAGTTGAGTTGAGTTAAATTTAATAATGTCGAAAATGGACCCACAGTCCTGGAACGTCGAGGCGTAATGATACAGTTAGGCAACATGCAGATGACTTAACCATTGCTTTGGCCTCAACCTAACAAAATTCGCATTACCTCAATGTATACATAGAAAAAAAAAATAATAATAATAAAAAATAACAGTATAATTCAAAACGACGTAACAATCATCATCATCAATGCGAGGCTTATGTGTAATCACAAGCATAAAAGGCAGAAAGTAAAACTACTAGCGGAAAGGGGGAAGGGGANTTTTTTATCAAAGATTTCAAACGAATAAGTATTTTAATTAATACGTTGTCGTTTAAGCAAATAATATTTTTTTTATAAGTAAGTTGTTCTGTTAATACATACGTAAGAAGCTGTTTGTATGTCTTGTGTACCTATAAAAAATTTAATTTTACATACCACTTACAAATAATTGTTAAGGGTTCATTTAGTTTTATTATTTGCATTTTCGGGGCTGATTCAAAAAATCGAATAATATGAAATACAAGTAAAAAAAATAAAAAATAAATGAAAAACCAAAAATAAAAACACAATAAAAACATAGTAATGTTATGAGCAGGTAAATACTACGGCTAAGAAAGACTATACGTTCCCTCAACGAAGTAATTGTAAGAGAGGGAGAGTAAGAGAAATAGATAAATAGAGAGAGAGTAAAAGAGAGGAATTAAAAATTAAAGTTTATTTATTGACGATTGAGGGCTTGGGCCCTGCACAATTACCGCATAGATAGCATTGTTTTCGTCTTCAATATTAATAGTATGCAACCATAATAAAAGAGATAAATAGAGAGAGAGAGAGAGAGAGAGAGCGTCTGCATAGACAGTAAATTTGTTTATATTCGTTTAAATGACATTCACCATGACTTAATTTGAATAAAATTGTTTCAGTATAATAATGATAATAAAAATAAAAATAATAATAATAACAACAACAATAATAATAGTAATAACAATAATTATAATAATAATAAT